ATTCAACTTAGAAGATTTTTCAAGAGGGGTCTATTTTTAGAAGTGGTCAATAGAGGATGACAAAAACTAGTAATGTTACTTAGGAGCAACCAAGACAGAACATTCGACTAAGAGTCTATTCCTTAACTTATTAGGAACCTGAAGTACTTGTTGCCACTAATGCTAATGCATAGAGTTTGATGGATGATTTGTCTAATGGATGTCGTTCTAGTTATGTTGTGTTGTGTTAGTTATGTTATGTTTCAGATGTTGTGTATTTGTTAGATTTATCCCATATATTTTAGTTATTACTTTATGTTTCATCTACTGAATAATTAGTTTGTGTGAAGTTCATGAATCTCGAGGAAAAAATGTTATAATGAGGGGAAGATTGTAATAACTGTGTTTAATATTCATATATATAACAATAATGATAATGATAATAATAATAAGATTTTGCTTGGGCCGATTTGAAAGGAAGCATTTTGTCTCCGACAATTCCCTCTTCTTAAGAGTCTAACATCTCTTTTGAATCGAACGAGATGAAACAAAGAGTGAAAAAAGGAGAAGAAGAAGCAACGATAGAAGAAGAGGAAGAAAGAGGAAGACTTGCTTTGAGGAACTAAGTCGAGGGAGGAGACATTGTCGACTTGATGAAGCTGACAAAGCATCCTCGACGGTTTCCAAGGCTTTACTTGCAGGAAGAGGAAACCTATCGAAGGGCTCTGTTTGCGATGGAATCCTATGCTCTAGCCGTAGAAGAAGGAGAAGCGAAGAACTTTATCGAGCTTTCTGGCGTGGGTTAGATCAAAAGTGGAGGAGCGAGCATTGTGCGCAATTAAGGAGCAGAGAAAATGGTAAAAGCCTGGTTCAAACAACTTCGTTTGAAGGATATGGAGTGATTTTTGTTTGCAGATCGAGCAGAGTAGGAAACGTAGAGCGAGCTGCGTGCGGGAGGGGAGGGTTAACTTTAAGATTTTAAGCTAAATTTCAATTAATTTGTTTTTTTATTGCTTTAAGATTTTGTTATATCAATAAAATAGTTAAGTATTAAATGAGAATCATGTTAATTAGTGTTAGAAACTTAAGGTGGAGTAAATTTCAAATTGTTGATGGGGGATTTTTGAAGCAATGAAGGTTATAGTTTAACTTTCAAAAGTAATTTGTTTAAATTATTGTTATGCAATATTAGTATTAATTTAAGGATTTAAATTCATAATTATATGATGAAATTGAACTATAATCAATGAAAATATAATTTAGCAATATGAGATAAATTTATTGAATGTAATATGTTATATTATAGGTGTTAACTTGAATGATGTGACAGAAGTCGAGAATAAGAACCGTATAAAATCAAATTGAGTAGTTGTGCTTTCTAGTTATAATAATTTTTTCCGCTTTTAAATATATTTTTCCTTACGAATTTTCATTATTATTTCTTATATTAATGAAATTAAATAAAATGTGATTCTTCATAATGTTAGTCATGAAGCATGCATGTTAAGTAGTTGCATTATAGTTTTTCTAAGAAGAGTTTTGATGAGTATATAATTTGTAGATTCCAGCATAAATTTGTATATCAATATATTGCACAACATGTAGATTTAGTAAGTTTGTATTTATTCATCAGTAGATAGAGGTAAAGTGTTTTATAAAAAAAGAATGTTTGATATGAAGAATAAAGTAGTGTATATATGAATACTTATATGAGCATGTTAAGATAAGTTCACCCTCTTGTAGTACATACAATGGATGTCAGTGTACCCGCAAGTGTAAATGCTATCCTACCACTCCAGCCAAATGTGGTTTTTAAATCGCTAATGTTTTGCCGACTTGAAATATCAGTTATGGGCGAATATACATCTTTCCATCTCAGACAATCGTGTAAATTAGATCACAAACTGTTGTGTCGATGGGATAATACAGACTATGCGTGTGCATGGTTATGTTTTGATGATACTCCTAAGACAAATATGAATCTTAGTAGCATGAAATAAAGTGAGGTTAAAGATTAAACTTTGAATAGTACAATTAAAGTTAATGCGCATAGAAGTATAACTTTCTTCCATGAAGTGAATGTCACAGACACATACATTAGATTATTATAAGGATTTCATAGAAATATGAAAGATCAAAATGCATATTATTTTCTTTTTTTTTATGTTATTGTAGTTTAGAAGTGTTATCGCTCATGGGTTATCTTAGATAACTCATTATGTTATTTTAATTTTTTTTCAAGTCTAAGTTTTTAAATAAGATGAATGCTAGAAGAACTAACGTATAAAGAAAATGTCAGCAACCAGAGAGGTAACTTTTATTTGTTAATTAAATTTTTTTCTTTGGTGTCTCGTTTATATAATTTTTTTTTAAAATTAAATTGTTTGCGATAGAATTATAAATATAGAAAACTTAATTACATCGTCTGACTGTCTGTTCTCTTCTTGGTTAATTACAAGTTTTGGGCAAAGATGTGACAACTCACTATCTCCATCCTCACCTGGAAGTATGATTCTTTCATTTGTACTTTTCTTTTCTCGATAATGTGTTGTTATTGTTTTTGAAATGAATTTCACATATTTTTGAATTACATTTACTATTTCTCTGATTGCTTAAGAATCTTGTTAGATTACTATATTGTTAATTTTATTTAATTCTTATTTTTATATTATGCTAATGATATCACCCAAGAAATTTAATAATGATTTGTGTTATATTTATAGGATAATTGAGATTGGGTATGTTACTTCTAATTTAATAACCAACTAATTTTAACGCCTTATTAGTGTAGTTGTATTTAATTGACTTTTGGGTTAAAAATAGTAGGTGTTGTTAGTTAAACCTTAAATAAGCTTGTAATCTCACATCATTCGGCTCAAAGTAACTATTATTTATTAAATGATAAATGTATTTTCTATTGTGAGAGGCGTTATCCTTGTTATTTCTAATATGTTCTCTGTATTTTTTAGATTTGCTAGTTTAATTAAAATTCTATTACATGTTTCACGTGATATAGGCTTTACTTCTTTTTGTTCTAAATAAATTGCGGGAGTAATTTAATCTTGATTTATTGTTGCACAAAATCTTTAATAATGAATTAAATTTTATAGTTTTATTATTTTTTTTTTCCTTGCTCATTTTTTTTATTACAATATGTATCTCATGCAATAATCATGCTTGAATTATCAATAATACTGGGTTATATTGTTTATAGAATATGTCTAGTAATTTTGGAACAAATATTTGTAATAAGAAATGACAAATATTGTGATAGACCATTCGTAAGATTACAGGGGTGTCAAAGATGGAATTGGTTAAGATGAGACTGACGGTAAATAATTGACAAATATTTAGTAATATTGTAATTTGTGTCAATATTATTTTTATTAACTAGTGCTAATCGTGATTGAAATTACTATATTTGTCAAATTACGAACGGTCTAGCGTCAGTACTTTAGTAGTATTGTAATTTGTGTCAATGTTATTTGGTTTTTTTATTGATAATATTAGATGTATAATTTTGCTATTCTCATGTTTTATATTGTAGCTCGGTCATTATTTTGTATTTGTTTAGTTAGTGTCATTTTGAGCTTTGATGATAATGTTATTGGCTTGATTTAGTTCTAGTTTGCTTTTTGTGGATTTATTCATGTGTAATTCTGATCTGTTGTAGTAGTATTGCCGTTATTCAATTTTTTTGTATGCTAAGACCATCTTTGCACAATTATTTTACTGGTTTTTTTTTGTTTTGTTTTTTTGTGGTTTGATTATTTGGTCACAGAGAGGAATAGATCTATAGAATCATGACCCTCTTAAATCATATTATTTGATTAACTAAGGGCCTTATTACGTCTCCGATTTTTTTTTTTATTTATTATTTTGGGTGCCAAATTTGGTACTATATTTATATTGAAGCAACTTTTACTTATGAGATCAACACATATACAACCACTATACTGCATCCATTTTCATGAACTTTAATTTTCATAGAAATTAAATTAGAACTCATTAACGATTTGTTAACTTTTAGGTTAATTAGTTGAAAGAATGTCAAATTTGTACCATCAATTTCTAAAGAACGAACATATAGTGTACTGATAATTGTGTTACAAAATCAAACGATAGCGGGAAGTCAATTATGCATGAATCATGACATCTGCTCATTTTTGCTTGATTCCATGTTTTAGGCTGGAAGGTATATCTAAGTTTACCTTTCAAACTTAATTCGCTAGTCAAAGTCTCACTTATTTTTTGCATGCGAGATATAAAGATCTGTTAACACAGTAAAGCAGATCGTATAAATTATGACGTTTCTTAAATTTTAACCATCTGTTTATGATGTTTCTTAGCGATCAAATCTAAGAAGATCAAACACATTGATATCTATAAAATCCACATATTAGGATTAATCATACTAGTGTGGTTAAAACCCATTACGTTCTAGAAGAGAGTCTATGTCAATGTCATGATGGTGGCAATAATCATTGGATAACTCGATGTGCATCACCAGTTATTTTTGTATGCATTGAACCAAAGCCACTCTAAGACATTTTTAGTTAAACTTGATCAAAGCAAGGTAAACATGTTGAAACTTGGCCTACGCAAAGTCAAACCTAGTGAAAGTTTAACCAGCAATGGACCACTAAGCCAAATTGGTTAATATAGAGAGAAAGCAAGCCTAGCCAACCCAAAGGAACTTGTCCTGATGCTCTGAACAATAGTTGAACCGATTTAAACAAATGACTAACTCCGGTTATCATTTTGGGTCAAGTTTGATTACACACTTCTTATCAAAATTTTTGCTTCATTAGTTTATTCTGAATGGGGATACCCATTATTTGTTATGATTCATTATGTATCTGACGTTTCTGTTACTTGGGCACATCAATTGTTGAAATTGTAGATTTGAAGCCTGTGACAGTTTGATAACACCATTGATTATTCTTTGTTAAATACCTTGTTATCATTTGTGGTAAACACTTCCCTAATGTTTTTTTTTTTTATTGTTTTTTAACCTTCAGGCTTGGGGTGTTCTAGAACAGAGGGCTGGAAATTTATCAGCTGCAAGAAGGTTATTTACATCTTCATTGAACATAAACTCTCAGAGTTATGTAACATGGATGGCGTGGGCTGCTTTGGAGGAGGAGCAAGGAAATGCTGCACGGGCTGAAGAAATAAGAAATTTATTTTTTCAGCAGGTTAGTTCTGCAAATATATTTTATTTAGTGATGTCAAAAAAGTTTTGGTTAAATATTAGCCAAAGCATATAAAATTGAAATTGGTTCTTTTTAGATTTACACTTTGAGGGAAGTTCTTTCTCAGGCCAGATAACTTTCGTTGTTCTAATATTCTTTCGTTAGTTGTACTTTATATTTGAAGAAAGTGTATTTTTATGATAAAAAAAAAGTATTATTGAATATTTAGAGTGGACTTAATGCGACATCCCATTAAAAAACATGAATCTGTTAGCAGTGATGAATATGGAACTTTCGTTCGTAAGATTATAGGGGCGACGAAGACGAAGGATTGGAGATGGAAAGGAGAGACGAAGAGAAAAAGATTGCATGTGCGGGCTTGCATGATAAATAAAGAAGATGAGAGAAGACGAAGAAACACAAAACTATGATTCAAAACAAAAAAAACAAAGTAAAGACTGAGGATGTACATGAGAAGAGAGATTGAGATCGAGCTTAAGTAAGGATCTCATGTCTATTGAAACCAGGTGACGTGCGAGTGGAGTGCAAGAGGCGATGAAAACTGAGAGGGTGAACGAGCATGTTAGAGGGTCTTGTGCTGACCACGAATGTGCAATGATGACAGAAGCGAGCGCAAGCTCATGTGATTGCTAGAGGAGAGCTCTGGTTGATGCACTCAAGTGGATCAATCAGTTGGTAGCCTTCAGCGACATGCAAATTACAGTTTTCTAGGTGATGAGCACAAGGCAGATAGGAAAAATGAGAAGAGAAGAGAAGAGGCTTTGGGGGAAATGAGGTCAAGCAAGTATGGATTGAGCTGAGGTCCAACAAAATTGTTCCAAGCTAAATCTAGATTAGGGTTTATAATTATGTTGGTGTTTAATACTAATGAATGTTATTAAATGATTAAAATGGTAAAATTAGTATTCATTGACGAGTATTAATCTTAGTAAAAAGGAATTAAATTAATCTATCAAGTAATTTAATCGAAAAATTAGAAAATTGAAGAAAAAAATATTGTAGATTTGAAGAGCATATAATGAAATTTATTTATGATGTTAAGTTTCAATTATACATTAACAATTTAATGAATGATGCATATTTATTTATTTATTAAAAGTGACAATAATTATAATAAATGTAGGAAAAATTTAAAGAATTAGACAAAACAAATAGCTATATTCTTAGATAGCTTGGTTATAAAATAATAATATATGGAAAAATGTTATTTTAAATGTAAAAATATATGTTAGGTAATAACTTGGAGAATTTAAAGATTAATGATGATTTATTCTCATGAATAAAGTAATACTATGATTAAATTTATTGTAAATTAATTTCCTTATATTGTTGTTATTAAGCTTGAAAATTTAATTGATAAAATCTAATAATTATAGTAAGACAAATTTTAGTAAGTATCATAATAATTAAAATGTTATAAAATCACAAGTATTTTAAATTAATTTTTATGGTATTATTAATAATTTATTTATTAGATAAAAAGGAGTAATGAATTTAATGTTTTAACATAAATTAAGGTATAATACATAACATTTAGAATCATATAAAATTTAATAAATAATATCAAATCTTCTAAGTTAATAATATTATTATGATAGATGATTTAAAAAAATGAAAATGCATATATTTGAATAATAAAATGATTGTGTAAAAAGAATCAAAATAATTATATTATTTTAATTATTTGTTTGAAAGAGGCAGATTTTAAGATGTATAATGACAAAAACTACTTGTTAAATATTGAGGTGAGTGCTCTTACTTATAAATTACTGTAGTGTTTTACTTCTTTTTTACCAGTTGTATAGATAGTTATTGAAACTTGTTTAATTCAATTTTAAGATTTTATCTTGACTCTTCTTTCTCTTATACGTGCTTATTTTAACCCATATGGACTTTGAAATTTTGTGCTCCAATCTTTTCCAAAAGAATTTTGTATTTTAGGCCAATTTATTACAAAATTTATTAGATTTCAAACAAAGTAGTACCTAAAGATTTCACCCTTATTTTATAAGAATTTAAAGATTTGGTTCGAGGTTTTTCATTTGTATAAGCTATTATTGTTAATTACCTTTCTTGGTAATGAAAAAAAAATCTTTCAATTAAAACTAGTCATTAAAGTGCTAATTGCTCAAGTTATTGTAGCATAATTTATGGTTTAAAATAGAAAAACGATTCCCTACTTTATATCGTCGTCTGATCCAAATGGTTCCCGGAGTTTCTTCATTGCTTGAATACCAAAAGTCAAGAATCCCCACATCCTATCATTTGTACTTGTAAGTATTCATATAATATCATATATATGTTCACTTGTGACATTTTTTAAAGCATAATTTCTATAGTAAATATTCAACGTGCATTTCATATATCATAGCAAAAGTAGACATGCTGACAATGATTTTATAAGTGTATTCATCAGATTCATAGCATAGTAAAATCACATGTATCGTAAAGAAGAAATCAATTTGCATTCACACATTCAATATAGATATTCATCACAACATGCAGGAAATTTTAAATGCTACAGTGTCAATTTTGGAATCACATTAAAATTACAAAGAATTGTTTTTCTTAAGTTAACACAAGATTATTTTACTTGAATTGATAGAGTAGCCTTACAATGAGCTTTCTCACGCTTGCTTTGAGCTCGCAGCCTAGTGTAAACAATCTGAAAATCATATACATTTTAGGGTTTCTTGGAATCTTAGCTTATTTTGTGATTTAACCCAAAACCTAACTTATTTATGAAATCTTTCCTCAAACAGGCTTTTTGGCATAATGTGTGCAAAGAATGGTCACTTGATCCTTCTCCCACTGAACCAAGTCGGTCGCGTGCGGCTCATGCCGTGTCCGCGTTGGGTTTGGGCTCCCTCGCACCAAGTATGGTGCTTCTTCGTCAATCTATGTCGAGTATGACACTCCCGCATTAATTTCCCAAGGTTGGGGGGGCTTCGACCTCATCAGTCAAAGCTTCCTCGCACCAAGTATGGTGCTTCTTCGTCAATCTATGCGAGTATGACACTCCCGCATTAATCTCCCAAGGTTGGGGGGGGCTTCGACCTCATCAGTCAAAGCTTTTATTTTCTCATTATATTCAAGTGAACTTTGCTGAAGGTGTCAATCAAGAAGGACAGAAATCAGAAAGTTAAATTAGGAGTTTTCTATAATTAGGAACTTCCTTATTTAAATTATTTCCAATGTCTTTATTATGATTTATTTCCCTTTTAGCTGAATATTTAGATTAGGAATATGTATTATTAGGTTGCTTAAAATAGATTATGTAGAATATTTTGTACCTAAAATAGATTGTAAGATTATTATTTAATGAAATGAAAGCAAAGGGAAAAGACATCGAGACTATTCAGGATTCAGCCTATTTTTCTCAAAACTTTGACATGGTATCAGAGCCAAATTTTTCCCCTAACCATCAATAATTGTTGGACCGTCAAGACTCCCTTCTTGCCGGCCTTCTTACAGGACAGGAAGGAAGGAACTATTTCTTTGCCTTGATTCTCGTCCATCTGCTCGTCATCCCATTATTTTTTCGCCCTCATTACTTTCGTTCTACTTCGACTTGGCCAATCTCGGCAAAGCCTCTATTTCCTAGTTCAATGGCTTCGGCTTCGGCTTCGGCAAACCTTCGATCTCAGGCTTCGACGCTCTCAGGCTTCGGTATTCTCAGGTTTCGCCACTCTCAGACTTCGGCACTCTCGGGCTTCGACACTCTCAGGCTTCGACACTTTCGGCTTCAACACTAACTGCTTGAGAATTTTTGGTTCTGACAATGTTATCAGTTTTTTGTTGGCAAATTGATGTTTCTTGATCAACAACATTAATTTGAGGGAGAATGTCAATAAGGAAGGACGAAAATCAAAAAGCTAAATTAAGAGTTTTTTATAATTAGGAGATTCCTTATTTAAATTATTATTAGGTTACCTAAAATAGATTATGCAGAATATTTTGTACTTAAAATAGAATGTATAAAATAGATGTAAGATTATTATTTAATGGAATGAAAGCAAAGGGAAAAGGAATCGGGCCTATTCATGATTCAACCTATTTTTCTCAAAACTTTGACAAAAGGTATCAGGAATGACGTTATATTTTGACAAGTTAATTTTGTAGGTGTTGACATTCCACAACACGCTTTAATAGAATAAATATGCATCCACTTTTGACACATTTTGAGATATAGTTGCATATAGATGTAGTTCTCGCATTGTAACTCTCAAGTCCTTAAGTGTGAAACTTTCTTCCACTTCTCGTACTCGGTGGAATGTATCTGATAAATAAGTGAGGAGAACTCAACTTTATGATGAACTTTATGGCGAGTTGCGCTACTCTCACTAGCAGCCACTCAAGAGTTCTCTCTTTTTCTTCACTCATAAGACCTGGATCCCATTGAAGTTTTTTTCTTCTCAAGCTCCGAAGATAATTTTCAAAGTTATGGTTCATCCCTTTTATCTGGACATATGATGGTAGGTACTCTGCTGAACTGAATCAAATATTTGAAGAATTTCATATAATCTTCTAGATGTGGCACAAAAGGGCTCCTTTTCTAACATGATTGATCTCCCTGAGTAGAGGAAATTCAAGGAGTCTATAGATCTGAAAATTTTGGATTTCACTTCTCTGGGGGTTATTAGGTGTTTTGTTTTTGTTCCTCAGACTTAGGATCGTCTTGGACGACTGATGTGAATTCTGCTGGAGTCTATCTATAGCCTCAGCTTGAACTATATGCTTTTCTCCCACATCCATTAGAATCTGATTCTCCTTCTTTGTGTCCTCGTCTTCTTCAGTGTCTACTGTGTCATTGTCATTTCCTTCAACAACTCATTGAAACACTTAATGACAAGGACAATCGGTGCACGTATCATGTTGGCTACAAAAACACGTTCTTTCACCAAAGATGGGAAGTGCAATATACACTTGCCTTGGAAGGAGTCTGAGTTGTTGGAGGATGCGGTGACACAAACTATCTTTTTAAATCCTTTAGAGAAGCACTAATAGGACTAGCATTGACTATTCAAGATGGTGATGAGTTCGAGAGTCCGATACTAGACACAGAGCTGCTTTTGCTGAGAGAGGTCTAACATATCATCTCTTCAACTAGAGATGAGTCTCTGAGCCATTTCTGGAAGGCCCTATGGAGTAAATTGGGTATTATACTTTAATTTGGTTTAATGGCGCACATATGAACAGGTGACCAGATAAAGTGTTGAACCACTACTTTGAAATTCTCTGTAGACGTTTTATGAAAATAACATCAACCAGTGGGATCTAGATGTTTCTAGAGAAGAAGCTCCTCCTACTTGGGGAGAATGATGCAGACGTCAATGCCGCGTTTTTGCACTATCGCGGAGCCTGAAGCTTTTTTTTTTTTTTTACTTTTTTTATTCTATTTTGAACAGATTTCTTTCATTTGTTTCTCCCTTATTTTTTATTCTTTTTTCTATTTTCTAATTAGGTTTTTTCTTATGATGGGCTTTTATATATTTTGTATTTGATTGTTTGAGACTTCAGTTTTGCTATTTTTATTAATTTAAAGACTTTTTTTATTTATTTCTACTCTCGAGAGTGCTACAGGCTCTTTCTTTTGCAACTGATATATCTGTAGCTTGCCAAGAAACTGATGGTGAAACCTGCTAGCCATTCATATTTCGGTTTCGTTGTTGTTTTTAGCCGGAAAGTCCCCGAAATCATTGCCAACTTCTGTTGACAGTAAATTGTCACATTTCCCCTTCCAGTTCACCGCCATCCACCTCTCATGGTTTACTTCAGCCGCCAACCATTCTATTTCTCCTTTTCCCCATTCTACAACTTCTCTTAACATCCTATTGTATTTGCTCACACCTTCTTGGCGCCCTGGTGTCCTAGACGGCATCAGAATGAGCTTTAGGTTATCCTTATGTGGTCATCTAGTTTGACATTAACAAATATTCCCCATTTTAATGGTGATTTCTTCTCTTCCCAACGTCCAATTAAATTTCGCCAGCAACGATTGATAATTTTTCTGCGCTCTCCATCTCTTTCTGCTGTATGCTTTGCCTATATCTGCAACGTCCTCTGTTCTACTTTCAATACAATTCTGACCATAAAAAAGTTTATCAATGAAATGCCCAGCGCACGGAGGTAGTGGATGATGCTTCCTGGGTTACAGGCTTTCTCGACATCTTCGACCCAGCACTCCATAGCATAAAGCGGCTGTTGAATTTTGAACATAGCCGCCCGGGGCTTTTAGGCAGCCAGGATATCTTAGGAAAGCTTCAGCAATCAGAATCCAGCAGCGGTGCGGAAAAAGCTGTTATTCAAGGTGGCGACAGTTTCAACTTGGACGCTTTTATTAAAGAAAAGTTATCGTTGGACGCGTCGAAACTGGACGAGCAAATGGAAAAATATGCGCCAAGGAAAAGTTCTCCAATGAAAAGGAATTTATGGATCAGATCTGGAAACAAAATGCACTCAACCAGTCCTCAATAGTTGTCTAATCTGGCTTAGTGCTAGCATCTTATTTATAGCCAAATTCTGTATTATAGTCTTCTGATAAAAATTAAGCCAGATGCAATTAAGTATGAAAATTTTATTAGTCACTAGTCAACATCTATTCTCAAACACATTTACATATGCCAATATCTACTTTGACTTGAGTTCATTATTGTTTTGGTAATGTTTGAGTGGATAAAACCAACGATATGCGAATGCGCAACTTAAAGATGAGCCACATGCCTGTAATTTAAGGCTCTTTATTTTTCAGTTTTAATTAGTCACATTTTATCATAAAATTTCATTGTTGCCAATGATAATATGCTATACGTGAAAATGTTTTGATCGTTTAATCCTAGCTTCATTTTTTTCCTTCTTTTTATTATTTGTGACAGAACGGTGTCACTCTCGTACTTATATATATATTTTTATTAAATATAATTTACATCTAATTTGCTTTCATTTTCAATGCCGACAAAGGTTTTTTTTCCTTTTTTATAAGCTTTTAATGTGATAAAAAGTATGCCTTAAATAAGGAGATTTAGGCTATCAAAAACATTTTCAAGGATCATATATTTAAATTAAAAAAAATATCTATATATATGAAAAATAAGGTTGAATGAATGATTTATTTTTTTGAAGTTTTACATGGATGTAATCCTCATGCATTAATCATACCATATAATTGTATTGATATTTTTGTAAAACTTATTTATAAAAATGGCTCGAAAGCCAAAATGTGAATTATATTTTTAAAATATTTGTATAATAAATTAAATAGATATATGCCAATATTAGGTATTGTTTTATGATATAAAAATTAGTAATATAGTAAAATTTCCTCTCAAAATAGTTCTATATATCATTTTCTAATTGAAATGGTCATGTGTTACATAATGGGGGTATGTTCTAATTAAAAATTTAAAAGTTTAATTATTTTGATATTTGTGATTTTTAATGATTGATTGTTAATTGTGGGATTCTTCATTAAAAAAAATGTAGGTTTTATAAGGAATATCAAATGGGTTGTATTTAGGGGGATAAACGAGCCGAACACAAGCGAGTTGAGCCTGAGCTCAACTCGTGTTCGGCTCGTTTATATTTTGAGCTCAAAAAGTGTGTTCGTGTTTGTCTTGTTTGCTTAACGAGGTGAGCACGAGTTGTTCACGAACAAAGAGTCATTTTGACAACCCTAATTAAATAGTCATAAGATGTCAAGGGTAGAGCCAAAAAATAGTCATAAGATGTTAAGGGTAGAGCCAAAATTTAAGAATTATTGTTTATATTAAAACATCATTTGAATCTAATTTATTAATTTTTATTCTATTTCTTATTAATATTTTTTATTGATTATAATTCTTTGTAGCCTTGTACTCAATTAATTTTTTTAAAAATACTATATATATGTAAATGATGAATAGTATTTCGAGCCAAATTGAGTAGAATAAGAACAAACAAATTTTTGCCTGTGTTCGGCTCGTTAACTTAGCGAACGAGCCGAACACGAGCTGTTCACGAACAACGAGCCGTTTTGACGGCCCTAGTTGTATTATGGTTCAATCTATCATTCAATAACAAAATATGGTATAAAAATTACAAATCAAGTCTTTTTTTTATAAAAATTTTAAAATCTAAGCACCGCTTCAAAGTTTTGATAAACAATGTAGGAGGATATTGTTTAAATTATTTATTTATGTCTACATTAAAAAAAATATTTCCCTATGCTAATTAATGCCTTCTATTAATTCTCACATACAAGCCATTTTTACTGTGGAACTATACAAAAAAAATTATTAATAGTTATTAGGTTTAGTAAAATTGGTTAAGAATGATTTTTAGTGTGAATCATGTGGCACTTAAGTATCGTTAAAATTTGACTATAATTTAATTTGGATGAACAAAGTAATGTAATATAAACACATAATCATCATTGTCATTGGAGCACAAAATTTCATGTCTTCAACATCTTGACTACTTCAAAGAGTAGAAGATTGTTGATTATGTTAGAACCAGCACCTCCATCTTAGAATTAGAGCATAGCATTTGATTCAAGAAGACTACTCCATTTATAATACATTATTGGTTCACCCCACACGATTCAAGCAAAAGTAAAGATTCAAATCTCTGGGTTGCTTCTACATAACTGAGGTTTTATTTGAAATCTAAACTTATACTGTATGGCTTGGCCAAAACTGTTATTCAAGGAATTTGTTGTTTCTTTTAATCAATTATTGTACTCACTATTTATCAATTGTTGAATTTGTATTAATATTTGTTTATTTGCATTCCAACACAATAAAGCTTGTTGTTAATCTTAATCTTTGAATTTTAGTGATTTTATATTATTTGTATTGCTTATATTTTCTTATTCCCTTTCTCCCACTCAATTTTATAAGCCCATTCACGTTCTTAACTATCTTTTGCACTTTCCTCACAACTCTAAGAACATCTCAAATCATTCAAAAGTTTTCTAGCATCTTCTCTCTCCACTTATATATAATAAACCTTAAAGCATATAACTCTTGGGTTCACCTTTCCAAGCACTCTTCTGCCACTTCCATCCCCCCTTCCACATACTACCAAGATCTTAATGCTATTCCTAGCCTTTTGCCATTTCAATTTTAATCCAAAATTGAGCTATGAATTGCCTTTATTATGAAAAAATAATTCCACCCCACCATCACCTTAATCCCCTCTAATAACTTAACTAAACACATCCCTAATCACATGTTTTCCTATTGAAGGACTTCATGTTAACACAATTATAAGAAAATAGGAGTACCTTTACGGTCAAAATCTTGTCTTAATTCCATCAAGAAGTAGCCACATAAGCTTAATTACTATCGAGTGCTTTAATTATTCTAATCAAGCTTCAAAATGACAAAATTAGTAGGAGAATATCTTTAACTAGCCTACTTGATCACTCAATCATTGTCCTCACACAAATCAAATACTTATTTGAGGATACCTAAAGCAATCACAACAGAGATGTCACATGTCCTACCCCTTGATCAAGGGTTTGTTAAAATGGCCGCAAGAACTTACTTTGGCAAGGAACACATCAACCAAAAGTTAAAATTTTGTCTATAGTAGATGTATTACAAGCCATTTGCTAAAATAATTTTTTATTAAAATGGGAATAATTTCTTAGAATATTTTATTAAGATTAACAACCCTTCTTTTGGAGGATCTAAAAGAGAGATTGAATTAATTTAGAAATTTTTTGTTAATCTATTACAAAAAACTTTAAATCATCACCATTGAGGTGATATTTTTATTGTCAAATTTTATTATTTTGGATTGTCAATTTGTGGCATTGACAATTATTGTTTTCCACTATTTGTCTCTACTCTTTATTTTGAAACATTAGTAGACCTTAGATAGTGCCAATAAGATGAAGGTTAGTGGCTATATTAATTTTGATAGAAATTATTCAAATCAATAATTAGGTTAACTTAATTGTTAATTTAACTTAAGGAAATTAATGATATTTAAATTAAGGGGAAATTTACATGCATAGTATTTACATGTCTAACATCCAAATTTTAATATTTACATTTATCACACCAACATGTCAAAAATTTATACATGAAAAGTTGTCTTTAACTTTTAAGAAGTTAGTGATGGTGTTATTTCTTAGGTGATGTTAAAGATTTGAGTGGTATGTAGAGGTGTAAAGAAGCCGAACACGAGCGAGCCCAGGCTTAGCTCCTGTTCGGCGAGTTTATATTTTGAACATAAAAATAGTCACTTTGACAACCCTAATCACGTCGCTATAAGATGTTAAGGGCTGGGGCAAGATTTAAAAACTGTTGTTTATTTTAAAACATTATTTAAATTTAATTTAATAATTTTTATTCTATTTTTTAATTAATACTTTTAATTGACTATAAATTTTTGTAGCCTTGTAGTCAATTAAACTTTTTAAAATACTACTCATCAATATATATATATATATATATACAT